ATACGACTACACTGAGCTAATAAAACAAACCGGAGCTCTCTACGATATCGGTTTAAAAAGTTTTTCACCTCCCGAACGAACGAACGAACAAAGTGAATTTTTAAGCTACCTATTCGAAACAAGTTTCAAAAATGCTCTCTTCTTTTTTGACCTTAGCTTTGTATATTAAGTAGTTCAAAGTAGCTTTAGCAAGTAAAAAGTGCATAAACATCAATTTTTCTCTTAAAATTTTAACGGGCATCACGTTCTAAAATAAGGAGTTCTAATGGTTTTTATTTTGAAACTAATTCAAATATCGGGGTTAACGTAATTGTCCAGAGGTATTGGAAAATCGTCTAGTTTAAAGTTTAAGCATGCAATAGGTTACATAATCAATGGCACTTGAGAAGATCCCATAAAAACAAATTAAATATATGTATTCAACTTTTATTTCAATTCGATCAATTAAATCAAATAATTTGAAATTTTTATTAGGACGTGACAGAGTATTTTCAGTTTTAAATAAACAACTTGAGTGATTTTACATTCTTTCAAAGTCTTCATGTATATTTTCGACTGTCAAATAATATCACAAAACAAGTTTGTTTTATTTCATTTGGTATACAATAGTTTTAAAATCCTTTATCATTGAAGATTTTACACTAGTTGAAAATTGATTTTTTCTACATAAATAAAAAAATACGTAGCTTCGAATTGAAATTATCATAAATCTCCATGATAATTGAAAAATGTATACTTGTGCTACTGTTATTTTTTTTTGAATTTAAATATGATGCTAATATAATATATATTTTAACTTCACTACACTACAGCTTGATGCAAAGGAGAATTTAATTTTAAAATGTTAACTAACTTAATGAAATCGTAGATTTGTCATTTAATTTTACAATGTCATTGCGTGCTCAATAAAAAGCATATGAAAAATAAAACAAAATCGTTCTGATGAAATGTAATTTCTACCATTAAATTTACAAATTGAGGAATTTTTAAAACGCGTGCATGTTTATTCTAAAGCATACAAAAAATAAGAACGATGTAGCAACACTTCAATGAATGCATAATGGAAAAAGTCGTGAATCGCATGGTGAATAAATGCGATTTATTTTGTCTGTAGAAATGCTTTGCAATGAAATTAGTTTCTATGAGTTCAATACGGCTTTAATTTAGTATATAAATTCTTAGCAACACCTTATCTGGCCTACCTTTATTGAAGCTTACTTACCGACATTCAATCGAAAAAAAATGTTTAACATGCGAAAAATAAAAGTAATGCATGTGACAATTTCCATAAATTCCATTGATCAGGCAGATTCTTGACACCCGCCATAAGAATTTGTAAATACATTATATGGAATGTTATAATGAACATCAATGGTTTATTATATTTAAGGCAATCAAACAAACTGTTGAAGTTTATCAAAATATAGTGTGACAACATTAATTTACATTTAGAATGTTTTATTTATCTCAAAAAAAAACCTTTGCCTTTGAGACCATTTCTTATCCAGAAGTGCACTAGGGCGATTCACAGCTAATGGGAGTTTAACGAGTGAGGATGCGAAAATTAATCAAATAATTAAATAACGAAGTACTTAACTGAGTCACTTCAAAACCCACCATCAAATACGTAAAATAGTTTTTTTTTCCATCAAAAGTTCTTCAATTCCAAAAAAATATATTTTAAACCTTCAGAACCCTACATTTCTTCTCCATTTCGTGGAGCATATGGCTATAATCAAGACTCTGTAATTTAATGTTGTTTTCATGCAATTTGCATAAAAATTGTGAATTCAAAAAAACAACAGAAAAAAAAATTTGTTCAAAACATATTAAAGACAGAACCCTACAGTTTCTTTCTATTCTTAATATAGAAGCCATGTCCATGCAGTATGATAACGTCACACACACTTGAGATGTGACTGTGGTGTAGGAAGGGAGAGAAGATGAAGTTATTCATCAATCATTTAACCAGAAACAATCTTTTATCAGAAATAATTATAATCTTTTTAATTAATCTTTAACAATTAAAGTGATTTTGTTTTATAATATGAAATTTGAAATAAAGAATGGTAAAGAACAAGGATAAGTTGAAGTTCCTAGTCAATTTTTAATTTTGGTTTAAAAGCTTTAATCTTAATCTTAAACTTTTTTTTTCATTTTTTAATTGCACTTTATTGCATTTATTGACGACATACTGTCCGGTAATAATTCACATTTTACACTTTTGTATTTGTATACATATGAATTAGTATAATGTAGGATCAAACTTCTAATCTTCCAATCTAGGTTTCAAATAAACTAAGGCTCTCGTTTCGATCTTCTGTAGGCGTGACGTGATACTTTTCAGGTCCGTTCTAACAATATTCCATTCGTGGGTAATCTTGTAGCTCTCGTTCCTATTTCTCCCGCTACACTTCCAGTTCCTGACCCGTTCCTTAATCCAACGTTGCCCAAATGCCCAATTATGGCTTGATCTCCTACATTAAGCAGTCGAAGTATCTAAACTTCCGAAAAAGAACAAATTTGGAAATGGAACCGACGACCTTCGAGTTACCATACCAAATTTGAGCCAAGCGCCTTACCTATTCGACCAGCAAGGCACTTAACTGCTTAGCTTGACAAAACGAAAGAAAAAGTTAAAAAAATTGAGATCGAAATAGATTGAAAGCATATGATTACGAAAACAAAGCACCTTAAAGATTATTAGCTGGGCGTAGAATTTATCTCGTATTCGATAGTAAATAAATGTAAATTATATATTCACAGTTAATACTATAGCTTGTGGCATTCGTGCATCTATTTTCGATTAAAAAGCATTAGTTTGAAAGCTTAACATGTGTAAAAATAATTGAATTATAAACCCTTTAAAAAATGAAACTAAAAAGAACTCATCGGATTTAAGTAAATTGAATTATATAAAGTCTTATGGTTTTTGTAATCATCCATAATTATCAGCTGATTTTTTTGTAATGATATGACAAAAAAATCATGTAAACATGTTACGATCTTTAACAATGATTTTATTCGCATGATTCGCAAAATCTTTAAATTATTACACATTTGTAAACTTTCATAATTAATTTGTCTCTACCGATGAATATTTAATAAGAAATGTATATAAATGCTGATGACAAAATCGCTTGCTGAAAGTAAATAAAAATTTTTGTCAACGCAAATTTTCCAATTTTTATTATATATGTTTGTTTAATGTTTGTATTCTTTTGCACGTTACACATGCTTGTATCGAAGCTTCAAGACCGTGTTACATTTCATTTCATATTGCATTTCATGTTCGATTCATTAACGAAGAATTTGTTGCATTTTCGATGGATTTCAATTTGTTTCATGATTGCGAAGAATGTCTGTTTATGTTACATTTGCATTTTGTTTCATGCATATTCGCTTCGCATGCATTTTTTTGGACACAGATACTTCCTTTTATTTTTTTTTGTTAGCGCATTATCTCAAACCATAATGCTCACATGTTGTCCTTTTATTCATTTTTTATCTAAAAAATTAAAAAAAAACATTTGATTCAAATTTTATTTTAAAAATTATAGTTTTTTTCAAGTTTTTTTGTAAAAGTTTTGCCGATAAATTATAATGCGCGATTTTTTTTTTAATTTTTCAACTGTTTTTTCTTTAATGCATAACTTTTTGTAATCCATGATTCAATATAATTTCAACTGAATTTATTTTACTGACCAAAAGATGCAGTATATGTACATATAACAAAAATTACAATAATAAAAAAAATACAATAACAAAGAAGAAATAAAGACAGAAAAATTGAATTTTATTTTATTTTTATAAATATTGTGATCGAGATTACAAAAACATATGAAAGCAGGTGATTGCAGTATGAGATTTGTATTCTCATTTGCATGATTTGGTTCATTCTTTAATTTTGATAAATAACATTTTGTATGAACTGCTAACAGACATAACTTGGTTGTTTTTTAATTGATATTTGAGACATAAATTACTTTTCTCGTAAATTAAGTTTAGGACATAAAATGTTTTTTTTTTTGAATGAGATGATTACTAGAAAATTTCAAATATAGATCTTAATCAGCAAGGCCGTGCCCAGACAATTCTTGAGAGGAAGGAGTTGGACATATAGTTAGTCATAGCTTCAAGAGAATATTTTCTATGAAATATATAACAGTCGCCAAAATCTCGATTTCAACCTGGAATTTTATTAGAAGGCTGCTATATACCTAAATAGTACTTTTAAACTTGTATGTGAGATTTTGACAAAGGACTTAAATGAAAGAAGCGACAACGAAATTATTCAAAATAAGGTTATAAATTGATAAGAACTCTAATTATATTTAATTACTATAGTAATGCCATCTGGTGTGAATTTAAATACAAAATTTGGCGAGTAACAATCTTATAGGAACATGCCAGAATAAACAATTGACAGAATACAAATAAACAATGAAATCAGTACTGGATGAATTTCAACAGCTTGCAACATATAATTTTGGCAACGAGAAAGAATATCTTACAGTAAAAAAATATCTGTTTATTCTTTTCTCCCTTTTGGAAATATGTGCTACAAAAAGCAGAGACCTCGATTACAAGGAATGATCCATAGAGTAAGAAATACAATCAAGTAAAATGAATAAAGAAAAAAAAACGACGAAGAATAAAAAACTGAAAAAGAAAAGAAGCTAAGAACATAAAAGATGGTGAATAAAGAAATAAAAGGTATAAAATATAGTTCACTGACACAAATTTTTCTTCTTTCTTTCACGATTTGGTACTTTATGAAATGATGAGGCACGAAGAAGTTTCAGGTAACAAAAAGGAAGAAATTTTTTATTATATACTTTACCATCTGTTTGAATATTGTTGTGCACCCATGAATTCTCATTCATTAAGTGTCGAATGATGATCGTAAACAGATTTTGAAATAGCAATGAATAAATTGTGATGAAAATAAATAATTTTTTTTAAAATTTAATTTAACTTTTTATTAAATTTTTAATTGTGTTTTTTTGCATTTATATAAAATGTTAAAACTAAGCAAACAAAAATATATGTTTTTAACTCTTATGATTCCTATGAACACTTTTTTCTTTACTAGAAAAAAAGTTATATTTACAATGGCAGTGATGAAAGTTTCCTAATTTATTACAAGTATTAAAATATATTCTGATGTACTAAGGCACTCTGCTTGAAAGTGTTAATTGGAAACTATGAGATCTTTCTATCATCATTTGACTTATTTTTAGTATTTGATCTTATATTTTTTATAGTACTGACTAGCTATAACCACTATTATTTAATGTCTTCCACTTATCTTAAATATTAAAAACAAATTAAAAAATAAATTACTTAATGAACTATTAGAAACACGCTTAAAAATCTTCATGAGCAAATATTAGAAGAACATTTGCATTAAGGACTTTTTAAAAAGTCTTTTAAACATTAATTTGGTAATTTTAGCAACTTTTGTAGCAGCACGTTTGGAACGTTTGTTTCATTGTGAATCTTTAACTTTATCTGTTTTTTTTTTTTTAAATTATTCATTCGCTTATCATAGTTTTATGATATTTAATAGTAATACGGTGGAATAATATATCAGTCTTTTAATAAGTTTTTTTTTAAATTTTATGGTCACTGCTAAAGGCACAAAAATTCATTATTCTGTATTTTTTTACATTTAGTACACTTGAATATTTGTATTAGGCACAATTTGATTTGAAAAGCTATCATTTTGCTGCATTTGAAGTCCAGGACATCCGCTGTCATTATGTTTAGTTAATAAAGACATTCTTGAGAATGTTTTACTACATGTCGTACAGGAATATTTTTTAACATCTGAATGTGTTTGAAGATGTGCTCGAAGATTAGAACGATCAGCAAATGCTCGTGCACAATAGTTACATCTGAAGGGTTTTTCGCCTGTATGGGTACGAATATGTCCTTGTAATAGCCACGGTCTTGAAAAAGCTTTTCCACATAAATGGCATTTGCAGGGTAAAGTATGAGTTCTAATATGCATTTTCAATGCACCAGTCGATGCATAAACTTTACCACATTCATTACATGTTACAGTTTTTTGTGCCTGATTATTTTCATTTGCTGCACAGTGAAACTGCTGATGTTTTGAAAGCCCGGAAAATGTTGAATACGATTTTCCACAATCAGGACATTGATATCGAGGTGGCATTGTGGATTTTTCTGTCTTTTCAGTTTTGGTGATTTTTTGAATGTTTGAATTGGAGCTAGATTTTTCCATAAGTACAGAAATCGAATAATTTGTTGGGATATCTTCAGATGGTGTAGTCGGAGGTGAAATAGAGCGCATTGATGCATTTGAAGATGATGCAAAAGAATTGTAAGATGCATGGCTTGACGTTGGTGATAATGAAGATTGATCGACTGGCAATAAATTGTGATGATGATGATGATGGTGATTTAATTGATATGGCATGTAACGGTGTTGACTATAATTTTCTGATTTAATATTACGGCGAAAATCTGATGTGGCATATGGTTGAATAAAAACTGGTGCTGGTGGTGAAACAGATGAATCTCTAATATTCCTAGATGAAATATAAGAGGGTGGAGATAATGAAGCATCTCTAACTGGTGAAATTTGATGATGATATAGATGGCTATAGTGCTCTTGTGTAGGGTATGGGAATCCAGAAAAATTGATGTAACTGTGTTGATGATAGGGATTTGGTGATTCTTCTGGTTTATGCCATGATGATGAGTTTGAAAAGTTCAATGGTTCTATTGGCGATACTGGAGAAGACGCAGGTGAAGAAATTTTTGATTGAATTTGTTGAAGATTAACAGGAGATTTTGGATATTCGTAAACTGGCTTTGAATTTGGTGATGCAAGTCTGATTTCATCAATTATTTTATTAGTTTCGTTTTCCATTTTAAGTGATTGTGCTTGAAGTTTTTCAGTACGTAATAATAAATCTTCAGGTTTTGTACTTAAGTTTTCAGGCTCCATTTCAGAATCCGATTCTGAGAAAATAAGAATAAATATCATTAGGTTTTGTTTTTAATATCTCTATTTTACTTTTCTTGATTATTATTATAATTTTTTTTTTTGAGAAATATCATATGAAGTTGATTTTTACCTTCTTTAACAATAAAGACGGGTCGCTTTTTGAGCGGGCAGTGGCTATAATTTTTTTGCATTATAGATGTAGGCATATTTTAATAATCCAAATATATATTTTTTCAAAACTTTTGAAAAATTGTTCTTTTGTCACTAATTTCTCAATTTTTTTTCTTCCAATTTTCACTTCACTTTCATTAATCCTTCAATGTTTTGTCTCACTTTTTTTTTCTTTAGTAAAATTTATATATATTTTTTTAACTTCACAATTGATACATTTATTATATGTTTAAAAACTTAGTATTTTTCTCTCTTTTAAAATTTAAAGAAGTTACCACGGATAAGGCTGATGTTGGAATGAAAATCTTTGTGAGAGAACCTGCTTATTTATAGTCTTCATCTCCAGTCAGACACCTGGCCTGGAAGAATTCCATATACACTGACTGTCGTGGTATATGCGCACGTGCCGCTTGAGAGAGTTTATCGTTCTGTAGCCAATCAACAGCGTATGATCAAAACACACATCTATATGAAAGAGGCGTGTCTTTCTCTCTTTCATATAATATCCAGCGCAGGTGTTCAGTTTTGTGCGACTGGAATGCAGACTGGAAATGGTGCAATATGAGAAGCAATGAATTTTAACAAGGAACGAAAGATCAAGCAAAACAAAGGATGAAGAGAAACAAATTTCAATGAGAGAACTAGCGAGAGATCAGAGAGTAAAGAGAAAGCGGAAAAGTAATGGAAAGAACGGTGAGAAATCAAGTATTTGGAAATAAAAATTCATAATTCACAACTCACAAGAGTAAAAACTCAAAAAGTATTGTTTGCTTGCGATTATGCAGAAACAGGTTTTGAACTTTTGCTTTATTATATTACGAAGTTTCACATTTTAATATAAATGTGCTTCGTTTTTTCATGCAATAAATTTTCTCACTTGAAATTTTAAAATAATTATTTAGTTCCTTCCTTTTTTGTCTCTTTTTAAATGAAACGTCTTCTAATAAAATGTAACAAAAGTAAAAATAGAAAAAAAAACATCAAATATATAAAAGAAACCCCTATTCAGTAAGGAAGTAAAATGAAAATTTTAACAGTTGCCTGAAACTAGAAGGATATTAAATATTGGTAGCGTACTTGCACAAAAAAATCATTACATCTGCTGGTATTTCTTCTTTCCATACTTCCCATAACTTTAAGATTTCTTTTCATATTGAATATCTTGAAAATTCTTTCGCAATGTGCGGCTGCAACAATCTGTTGTTAAATGAGGGGTCAACCTTATTGTTGCTGAAAAGATTAAGAAGTGAAAAGGAACAGATTTCTTTATGAAGCAGATGAAAATTAATTTATAACGTTGAAGCTATGATTTTTACACAACTAACGGATATTTTTTATAAACCATCACTCTAGTACAAATAACACTTTATCTAATTTCATATAGAAAAAAAATCCATGCACAAATTTTATAATTGCAATAGCAACAGCACGAGAAACAGATGCTGAATATTCACTTCATGCATTTAACCGTCTAATTTTTGAAATAAAAAAAAACTCACTTTCTTGAATAGGCAAAATATACTTTAGATTTTGCAGGTAATGAAATTGCATCATCCAACTGTAGAACGAATAAAAACATTTTCTCTTTCATAAACCAAGTCCAAATAAATTTTGAGACCCCTATCACCCTGTGTCAATCAATGTTCATGTGTAAAATTTTTTTTTTCTGATTAACCCCCTCCCCCCCTTCTTCCCCTTCTTCCTTCATCTCTGGTTAAACCAGTGCAGTTCAAATTGTAAACCTATTCAATTTGCAACCCTCTGTTTTTTAGTAATTTGTTCCATACAACAATGAATGTGCTCTCAGATTTAAATGATAGAAACAGATGCAGAACTCATTTGTAAGTAATATAGAAATAACGTTGAATTTATAAAGAGAATAAAGTCACTAATTTTTGATGAAGGCTATGGCATGTATTTACCGTTTTTTGAAGGGATCTTTTCGTTTCATCTCAGTCTTGTATTTATTTTTTTTCTTGAACTTGAATTAACAATTATTCTAAAGCATTTCTAATATTTAGAAAAAAAATAAATAATGTCATTTGAAATGTTCAATTAAAGTTGTTTTAAAATGTGATCGACAACATTTAAAAGCCACACAAATAAATCAAAATGACAAATTGAAGTAACTTAAAAATCAATGTGCATCTCCTTAAAAATTTCTATTTAAAATAAACTAGAAAACATTAAAATTCATTTAAAAAAATGAAGTGTATAGAAAAATTAGAAGATAAAGAAGATTAAAATTTTTTGATATTAAATTAATTTCAATATATCTTTAAATCTAAATAAACAACAATTTGTAAATTAGTTTTTCAACATAATCCTTGTTTTTGCTTTTTTTATACACTTAATTCTCTTTCCACATGGAAGCGAGAAGATCGAGAGGAAGGGAAATTGTTTCTATATTTCCCATCATTAAAAACCACCAGCATTGAAAATGTTTGCAATGCATATGTTTGCCAAATGAAATGTATGGAAAATACGTTTTTATTAGGTATCGAAATAATAATTCTCCATACCCAAAAACTAATACTAATGCATTTTTGCTGTTAGGTATAAGAAATAATCAAACGAGATATTATGAAATCCTAAAATACCAAAACAAACTGCGAAAAATTCTGTACATCTGCAGAGTATGGGTTTTTTTGTTTTTTGAGATAAAAATAGAGAGAGAGTGAGAATAAATAAAGGGAATTCCATCGTCTGTATTGCAGGATGTCAAATTATTTTTAGTGTTCTACATTGTTTCATCTTAACATTCTCCTGATATTTTCATTTAGCTTTTACTTGAGAAAAATCGGAAATTATGGAGTAAAAATTAACAGACGTTGAAATAATTTTTGGAAAATCCCTGGAAGTGTCATGCACAAAATGTGTTATTTAAATCTGGCGCTAAAATGTGTTTTATTGTTTCTTTTTATTCTTTAATGTATTTTAGGTAAGATCAGGAAAGTCGTAAATTATGCAAATATTTTTTACCTACATTTTTTAATTATTCAGCACATGGCTTCCATAAATATGTTCTTATTTGTTCATAAATACTGGTTATTCATTATGATTTTTTGAATAATTACCGTATTCCATTTTTTAACTAGCCTTTAAGGCGCCAAAGGTGTGAGAATTCCCAAAAAAAACACAAAAAATGTGTGCTTCCTTTGGAAAATTCCTTTTTTTCTTACAAAAAACCAAATTGCTTTGGAAACATTTTGACGCCAGATGCAAAAAGAACGGAAGAATATTTTGTTTATTTTTCACACCATAAATGCAATTAAATTTATTCTTCTTTTTCATATTTTCTCATACTTTCAAGGTATTCAGTTAATGAGTTTTGTTACTCATCGAAAATCTGGACACCAAATGTTGATTATATCACCAAGTGTGAATTTTTCTAGTTGTTATGTTAGAATTTTATCTGTTTATGTTCTTTTAAGCTTCTTGGCACATGTTTGGTAAAATGGTTTAAAACCCCATGAAAGATTGAAATTGAATTTAAGTTTTCTTAAAATAAACTTTTTCTTTTTACATTGTGTTCAAACTTACTCTAATTTAAATATCTCTTTAAATATATGTATCACTTTATTTGTCTACCTTGCGAATTTTTGCATTTTTGATCTACAATCGAAAAACCTCTAAAATAATATTAATTGTTTTTTCTTTAGTAAAAAAATGCTTTTAAAAAAAATTTGTGAAGTTTTTAAAAAAGGAAGATTTATATTTTTGCAAGACATTTTCGGTATATTTTACGGATTGAAAACTCTTTGTCGGCAAGGCATAAAGAAGATAGATGCGATTATTTCATGTATGATGAGTTCACTCAATACTTACATTAGAAATGGTAAGCAGTCTTGTAATATTTACTTTTCTTTAGATATACAAGCAAAAAGATTTTAAGAAAGTAAAACTAAGCAAGTGTGAGCAGAAATCTCTGAAATATTAGCATCGAAAAGAAAGAAAAAGTTCCAAAATGGATTAGAAATGAAATGATTAACTGAAAAAAAAAATGTATCGGGTTCTATGCATCTTTGAAAAAGAATTCAGATGATTTTTGGCAATGAATTATTAAAACTTATCTGTTTCAGTCAAGCTAAAGGTCACAACAAAAAAAAAAGATCTTGTGCAAAAAAATTAATATTTTTGCACTTGGTTCGTAAATTAAAAATTTTTTTCGGTTCATTGTTATATATATTGTAGTGCAATTTTATTTTTGTTCTTTTAAAAAGTTGAGACTGAGATGCTTATGTTAAAATGGGATGGAAAAGGCCATGAAAATTAAATCATTTTTGCCCTGTGCTTTTGGCTTAGCAAAATGAAATTTTACGACCTTCTCGCGCAAAGATTGTACAAAAATTTATGTGTATATTGGTATGAAAGTGCTTCAAAAACAGAGAAATAAATAAAATGCACAGATGTAGTCATACGTGGAGAGTTCACTTTGATGTTGCAATTTAAGCATTCATCATTTAATCGTCTTAAAACTGTAAATGATAATGAATTATCATGGAAGCCGCGGAACTTAAAATATATACATAAATTTAAGCATATTTTTGGTAAGCCATACCTTCTGTTTCGCGGTTTCATCAACAATACATATATTCATAATGACTTTTTGCCAACAAGTTGCTTCTCTTCTTTCTTTTCAGTGCAATTTCTTTAAAGTTCATTCTTTTGCACAGAGCAAAAATTGTTAATATTGAACTAAATATCATAATAAATCCGTGCACAGCAATTTCATTACAGTTCTCTTTGCCTTCGATTTATGACTTAATCCGTGTTTATTAATCATATTTTATCAAATCAAATAAATAATGAAATAAATTCATAATTTATAGCTTTCAAATGGTCGAGAATGTGGTGAAAAAATGTTTTATGATCGTTTTACATTAAGATACATCCAGATAGATCTTAAAAGCTATCCGCAATCTATTACTATCTAGTATATAAAGTTTTTTGTATTAAATTAAATTCTTGGACAATTTTTGTAACAAAGATGGTGAGAGGGGGTATAAAGTCATTTTTTTGCGTAACGTAATAAATAAACGAGCTTCTTGTTTTTAATTGAAATTTTAAAAAGTTGATGGAAATAAAGTTTTAGATAAAATAATATAAATTTCCGTTTCAAATCACTATTCATTTTTTTTTTAAAACTTGAAATCAAATACTTTTGAATATGGGCTCCTTTTTGCACCTGCATAGATTTAGATTAACCCTTTTCAAAAAGAATTTATACCATGTTGATCTTTACCAAACCTTGATTCC